GCTTATTTATTTATTGAGCATTTATTTATTTCTGTATTTATTTCTGACTGTGTCAGGATCGGTCCTCCATAACGGGGTGGGAGAGTTATCAAGCACGTAAAGTTTGGTTCAGATGTGAGCATGTACACTGAAGTTACAACAACTTCCTGTGTCATGGCGAAGACTTGATCTCTGACGCCACGCCACGGACACACCCATTGACAAAAACTCGCAAATAGCACAACTTTTCATCTTCAATGCCTTTAGAAGGCACAGCACAAATTTGAAGTCGGTCGGACTAAATCCCTAGGAGGAGTTCGTTAAAGTACGAAGTGTGTAAATCATCCAAAATTTGACGTAAAATTCAAAATGGCCTACTTCCTGTTGATTTTAGGGCATCGCTCCAAGAGGCTTTTTTGTGCGTCTGGACAAGATACACGTACCACAGAAAATTCGTGCACGTAGGTAAAACGTGCGGCGGGGGCTGCTTCGTTAAAAGTCACTTCCTGTTGCCAGCAGGTGGCGCTATGACTGTCTGTGAATGTCAGCATGTACATGTGTTCAGGGCGGGACTCTCATCCTACATGTACAGTTTGGTCCAGATGTGAGCATGTACACTGAAGTTACGACAACTTCCGTGTCATGGCGAAGAGTTGATATTTGACGCCACGCCACGGACACGCCCATTGACGAAAACTTGCAAATAGCACAACTTTTCATCTTCAATGCCTTTAGAAGGCACAGCACAAATTTGAGGTCGGTCGGACTAAATCCCTAGGAGGAGGAGTTAAAGTACGAAGTGTGTAAATCATCCAAAATTTGACGTAAAATTCAAAATGGCCGACTTCCTGTTGGGTTTAGGCTATGGCTCCAAGAGACTTTTTTGTGCGTCTGGACAAGATACACGTACCACAGAAAATTCGTGCACGTAGGTAAAACGTGCGGCGGGGGCTGCTTCATTAAAAGTCACTTCCTGTTGCCAGCAGGTGGCGCTATGACTGTGGGTGAATGTCAGCATGTACATGTGTTCAGGGCGGGACTCTCATCCTACATGTACAGTTTGGTCCAGATGTGAGCATGTACACTGAAGTTACGACAACTTCCGTGTCATGGCGAAGAGCTGATCTTTGACGCCACGCCACGGACACGCCCATTGACGAAAACTTGCAAATAGCACAACTTTTCATCTTCAATGCCTTTAGAAGGCACAGCACAAATTTGAGGTCGGTCGGACTAAATCCCTAGGAGGAGTTCGTTAAAGTACGAAGTGTGTAAATCATCCAAAATTTGACGTAAAATTCAAAATGGCCGACTTCCTGTTGGGTTTAGGCTATGGCTCCAAGAGACTTTTTTGTGCGTCTGGACAAGATACACGTACCACAGAAAATTCGTGCACGTAGGTGAAACGTGCGGCGGGGGCTGCTTCGTTAAAGGTCACTTTCTGTTGCCAGCAGGTGGCGCTATGACTGTGGGTGAATGTCGGCATGTACATGTGTTCAGGGCGGGACTCTCATCCTACATGTACAGTTTGGTCCGGATGTGAGCATGTACACTGAAGTTACAACAACTTCCTGTTTCATTGCGAATCATCGACGCCACGGACACGCCCATTGACGAAAACGCGCAAATAGCACAACTTTTCATCATCAATGCCTTTAGAAGGCACAGCACAAATTTGACGTCGATCCGACTAAATCCCTAGGAGGAGTTCGTTAAAGTACGAAGTGTGTAAATCATCCAAAATTTGACGTAAAATTCAAAATGGCTGACTTCCTGTTGGGTTTAGGCTATGGCTCCAAGAGACTTTTTTGTGCGTCTGGACAAGATACACGTACCACAGAAAATTCGTGCACGTAGGTGAAACTTGCGGCGGGGGCTGCTTCGTTAAAGGTCACTTTCTGTTGTCAGATGTGAGCATGTACACTGAAGTTACGACAACTTCCTGTTTCATTGCGAATCATCGACGCCACGGACACGCCCAAAAAAAAAAAATATATATATAATCACACGGTCGTGCTCGGGCCCTAAATATATAATCCGAGCAAATTCAATAGGGACCTCGCACGGTCGTGCTCGGGCCCTAATAATCCGAGCAAATTCAATAGGGACCTCGCACGGTCGTGCTCGGGCCCTAATAATAAAAAAAAAAATAATAATCCGAGCAAATTCAATAGGGACCTCACACGGTCGTGCTCGGGCCCTAATAATAATAATAATCCTAGCAAATTCAATAGGGACCTCGCACGGTCGTGCTCGGGCCCTAACAAGAACAACGCAGACAGTAAAACAAGACCAGAACACTATGGCAGACTAAAACCACAATGTAACACAGGAAAAAATTAAAAACACCTAGCCACCCAAAAACCATGATAATTTTAAGATGTGTGCATACCAGCTGAACCAATCATGGTCCAGTATACACCTTACACACATGTAATGTGGAAAGCTCCAGAGCCCTGTTTCAGAAAGCAGGCTTAAAAAACTCTGAGCTTATCCCTGAGCTCTGGGTTGATTGAGCCTGAGGTGGGAAACTGAATTTTCGGTTCCAGAACAGCTTATCAGAATAAGTTCACTCAACTCTGAGTATGTTGAGCTTGATTGAAGCGCATGCGTGGGGATGAAAAAAAGCCATCATCAATGGAGCTCCGATACAATTCACCATGGCAACGGGTAAATAAAGGCAGAGCCTCCATTTTAATAAGGTGGAGCTAAAAATATGAATGTGTGCCAACGCGGACCATGATAGGCTCTAAACCGCAGGAGTGGAAGAAGGATCAATGCGTTAACATTATTAGGCTACTATACAGTGATGCTCATTCATCATTTACCAGACTGGAACTGCTACAGCCCATTACATTCGATTTTAAATAGGAAGGCTATATTTATTAAACTGTAACCCGACAGGGCTAAATGCCAGTCACAATCGGCTGCCTAATTATGAAAATAGGTAGGCTATAGATCAAATATAAGACACAGTTTACTCGTGGACCTGTGATTGTAAAGTCACAGTCATACCCAGCATGTTAGCTTATTGATAATTTGTTTGCAGTGGAAAATGTGTCTAGGCTATAGGTTAAAGTTTTAGACGTCTATTTTACATTAATAAATCTTGCTCATTTTGTATTATTAATGCTGTCAAAACACATTCAGACTATCAGCAGATAATAATGAAAAACTCACATTTAAACCTTATTTAGGCCTGTTTGTTTCAGCGGCACCACAGTCATCCTCACTCAGAAATAGTCACATTGTCTCCAGTTGATAACTACGATAGGAATGTTCCAATCAGTGCGACTACAATATGAAAGATTACTGTTTATTGATCAGTTTTATAGGTTAGCCTACATATTAAACAGTGATTAGGCTACTGCTGTCAGGACCGGGCCCAGAAACTGAGACGCAGACCAGAGTATGAGCAGTGAAAGGATTTATTGAACACAAGGGAGACAAGTGTGGCTTGGGGATGGGTGGTTGTTCCAAGGGGCATGTGGTCCTGGTTCCAGAGCTCAGGGGTTTTCGTGGCGCAGGAGGGAATCCGAGTCAGGCATGGGCAGGTACGCTGTGGTCGAGACAGAAAAACACGTTAATACGAATACAAGGGTTCAGACAAGATGCTGATAGTTCAGACTGGGCAAACAGGCTGGCGTATTCGTACTGTGTGTGGTACTACAATCCAGCTGGGACTGGAAGTTTGGGCTGGTCTTTTAAGGTGAGTTGATTGTAGGCAGAGGCACTGGTTGCTGATTAACTGAATGAGTCTCAGGTGCGTCAATTAGAACTCAGGCAACCACGCCCACCAGTAGCCCCAGAGCATGAGGGAGGAAGCAGAACACAGAGAGACAGACAAAAACCAAAACACACCAAGCACACCATAAACGCCCCAAGGGGAAAAGAACTCAAAACTACAATCACACACACATCCCAACAGGAAGGTCAGGGTCACGACCGGGGGTTCGTGACAACTGCAGTAATGTAGCCCACAGTAAGTGTTTTCAGTGCAACTGTCCACAGAGTCGCAGTGTTATACCTAAAGACGGACATAGATTTTATTCTGTGCTGAGGATAAATCCACGATATGCGAAGATCTGTCATACATCGATGACAGATTGATCATAAAAGCGGTCATGTTCAAGATCATGTTTGGGTAAAAAACTAATAGCCTATCTAACCGGGATTTTAAAGTTTTTAAAGATGTAAATGCGTTCAGATATGTGCTTTGATATCGAATGAAAGAATGAGGAAATGAAACGGTGAAACGGTGTGTCAGACCGCCTCAGGCTCCGCAGGAGGGGAGGGGTTAGAGAGAAACTGACGGTTTTTCAACTTATCGTGTGAACCTTCACAGCATCAGTTGCCGGAGTTACTGATCTAGGGATTATCTGATCTCGCTCTCTGAAACGGAAAATCCAGAGTTTCCCTCATCTCAGGCTTAACATACTCAGAATTTTCACTAATCCCGCTTTCTGAAACGGGGCCCAGGTCATATACACTGAGAATGAACAAGGGATCTTGTGTTCAGCAGTTTAACTTTTGAGGTAAAAAATATTTGCTTCTGGATTTTTCAGAGTAAATGTCATTTTTGGATGTTTAACCAACAATTGAAGTTTTATGTGGAAAAATATAACACACAAACACACACAAACATTATTCTTCTTATTCCAAGCAGCTGCTTTCAACAGCAAAGAGTAGTTGACATTTGCAGTGCCAACATTTCCTCTGTAAATTCAACCTGTTAGAGGTGAGTTTACACAAATGCCTGCATTACCTTGCATGGTCTGATGACAGCCTCTCCCTCTATGTCCTCCAGTGCCACCCTACCTTTGCATCTGTGTCCGCTCTTATGTAAGAGCAAATGACATAACACTTAGAAGATCAGAGCACTGTGGAACAGAACACAGCTGGCAACAGCCATCACCTGAGGATGGTGTTTTTTGCTTTTGGCCCTTAAAGGAAACAGTGTGATGCTTGCAGGTGAACGTGATGGTGGAGTAGTGTTTTGACAAAAATAGTGTGTGCATTTAAAAAACACCAGGTATGGCAGTACAGAGGCGGAAAGACTATTTGACAAAATGCCAGTGTGAAATGGAGTCCCAGTCTGGGAGAGGGAGGTAGAGGCAACTGCCAAAAGCCAAACACCCTCTAGAGAAAAAAAAAAGAGGGAGGGTTGGAGGGTGAGCGACAGAGAAAGACAAACACTTTCCTAATATAGCTCGAGGAGCCTTGACACCAGACCTGGACAGGATATACTGACTTTCACCCAGCAGAAAATCCAGGAGAAGCTTCCTGGTTTTCTAAATGTCTTGTCTTCCCTGCAGCATCTTTATATGGTAACCAGGGAGTGAGGACGGTCCAGGAATTTCTGCGGTAAGGACGCCTGTCTTCTATTTGTTCTCATCTCCCATCAGACTTACAGAGCCACACAGCACATTGCTACAACTCATTCTAACACAGCTGCTAGCAAATGCAGTTATGAATGGATATTTTGATACAAGTGATTCAAAGTGAAAATGATCTGACTTCAGTAGATTGAATCATTTCATTTTAAGGTTGGAATTATTCAAGGTTTGAGTTTTAGTTTTACTGAAACTGAACTGGCCTTCAACCCAATTCTAGTTGTAGTTAAATCCTAATTTCAGATTTCACTTTCAACTGTCATTTGAAGATGTTTATTTCTGCAAAAACCTGTGAAACTCTTGACACCTCCTGCCTCCAGTCTTTAACCTACTTATAGAGTGGATCAGTATGTCTACATTATTGCTAATTTGAGTTTAATGGTTGGGTTAGGCACTAGGTTTGACTCAAGTTTATGTTCTGACACAAAGAAATTTCTAAGAGACGAACATCTGCTGTGTTGGAAGAAGCATTTCCTATGCCAAAAGAACAAATGTCAACCCTGTGATGGGACCTAGGAGGAGATTCTTTCAGAACGCAGTCAGGCGTTTCAGGTTTCTGCTTGTATACGACTGTAAGATGGCTTTTAAAAGGCTGTTGTGCTGTGATGTTTCATGTATACTACAGAAAGCTATCAGCAGCAAATTCTATGAAGCCCATATCACAAAACACTATAATGGTTAACACCTTCTCCTGATTATGGTGTTATGTTCATAATTCTGTTTAACATGAAAGTTTTTAATTTTAGTTTTTGGATTTAATTCAAACAGACCATATTTTAAGATAATATTGAGCTATTTGTCTGGCTGGGGATTAAAACGGTTGATAGAAGAGTGTGTTTGTGTGTGAGTGAGAGTGTGTGTAAGAGAGAGAGAGAGAGCGAAAGTGAGAGAGAGAGAGATTACATAATGTTTAAAGCAGACACTGAGCTGTTATAAAGGCAGTAACTATAATCTGAGTTGATGACTGTAGAAAATGGGCATAGTGATTAGAAGAAATTTCACTAACTGTTAGGTAAAGTGTTATAGATATATAGTGTTAAAATGACATAATACTCATTGTTTTTAATCATCTCTGACCTTTTTTGAGTGAATAAATGTTCTGTGGTCAATTTAAATACTATTAATAGGTCATTTAGTACTGCAATGTGACTTTGACTGACTCATGATGTGATAAAAGCCTCTGGACCGGAACAGATAGTTAGACAGGTAAGGCATATTTACAATGCAAATAAGCTTCACCTCCCGCCTCTGCACAGCACACAGCACAGTTTGCATAGAAAGCGAAAGGTTCAGAGGAATTTTATTACAATGCTTGACAGCTGTACAGAAAATATGAATCAGCTAAGAGCAGAGGACATAAGTATAAATGGGCAGCAGGTCAGACAGGGTTCTGATCAACAACACCCAGAGCAAAATGTGAGTACACACCAGCTGTTATTCACTACATGTATGCATTTATTTCTGTTATCTAGTGAATGAATATTTCTCTTAATTCAAATCACAGTTTTGAAATTTGACATATTGAACAATGTGTTTATACATGTGGCCTCTTTGAGAAATACACCGAAGATAGGAGGCTGACTTTGGGGATTAAGTTGTGAAATATTAAGCTTATCAGATTGTATGCTTGTCAAATGTATCACTTGCTTGTTTTGTTAAAATTCAATAAATATAATGTTCAAAAAAAAAAAAAGATAGGAGGCTGTAGTGCTTTTCGACAATACAGGATGTGTTAGAGTGCCCAAATAAGGTCAAGTCAGTTAAAATGGGTTATAATAAGAAATCATTCAGACATTTCATTATTAAATGATAAACAACAATTTAACAAGTCTAACAAATGTTACTCAATCAGGAAAAAATTTGGTACTCTGGTAAGTATTTGCGGTGTGTGTTCATGGTGCAGCAGTAAGGCTCACTGATGGGTTTTAATTGATTCTGGACAACAGTGGAGCTTTATGGCTCAGAGGAAGCAGAGACATCTGACTGTAAGACACACAGGACCTGTAGAAGTAGATACATTCACTACTGGTTTGAGTGTGCACATGGGTTTTGATAATAAAAATAAACAGAAAGGCCTTTGATCATGAGATACATAAGGCAGATCAATTCAATTTTATTTATATAGTGCCAAATCACAACAACAGTTATCTCAGACTTTTTTCATAGAGCAGGGCCCCGTTTCAGAAAGCAGGATTAGTGAAAATTCTGAGTATGTTAAGCCTGAGATGAGAGAAACTCTGGGTTTTCTGTTTCAGAGAGCGAGATCAGATAAACCCTAGATCAGTAACTCCGGCAACTGATGCTGAGGATAAGTTGGAAAACCGTCAATTTCTCTCTAACTCCTCCCCTCTTGTGGAGCCTGAGGCGGCTCTCTGACACATATCTGAACGCATTTACATCTTTAAAAACTTTAAAATCATGGTTGGATAGGCTATTCGTTTTTCATCCAAACGTGATCTTGAACATGACCAATTTTATAATCAATTTGTCATGTAAGGACAGATATCCGCACATTGTGGATTTATCCTCAGCACAGAATAAAATTTATGTCCGTCTTTAGGTAGGGTAACATGGGGTAAGACCCCCACAGTAATTCTAACAAAATTAATAGGCTCACTGTGACTTTACTATCACAGGTTCATGACTGTGTCTTATGTTTGATCTATACCTATTTTCATAATCAGGTAGCCGATTGCAACCTTTTTCCCTTATTAAATAGCTTATTAAATATAGCCTTCCTATTTAAAATGAATGTAATGGGCTGTAGGAGAATTCCAGGACTTTATCATTTATTAAAGAAATTCCAGTCTGGTAAATGATGAATTAGCAACGCTGTATACAAAGTACTAATGTTAGCGTATTGATCCTTCCTCCACTCCTGCGTTTTAGAGCCAATCATGGTCTGCGATGGCACACATTCATATTTCTAGCTCCACCCGATTAAAATGGAGGCTCTGCCTTTATTTACCCGTTGACATGGTGAATCGTAGTATCGGAGCTCCATTGATGATAGCTCTTTTTCATCTCCACACACACGCTTCCTTCAGGCTCAACATACTCAGAGTTGATTGAACTAATTCTGATCAGCTGTTCTGGAACCGAAAATTCAGAGTTTCCCATCTCAGGCTCAATCCACTCAGAGCTCAGGGATAAGCTCAGAGTTTGTTAAACCTGCTTTCTGAAACACGGCCCAGGTCTAGAACGTACTCTGTGATGTTATTTACAGAAACCCAACAATTCCCACCAAGAGCAAGCACTAGGCGACAGTCTTTTCCTTTGCCTCTGTTGCCTAGTGCCTACAGTCACAGTCTGTTGTCTTGTATCCAGTCTTCTTCGTGTGTGCATTTTGATTTGGTCCTGTCTGTTTGTGTCTTGTGGAATTTGTCAGTGTTCTGTTATCTGTCTATTTTATCCACTCTGTTATTAGTTCGGTCCCTGTTTGTTTTGTTGCTAACGCCTTGCGTTTAGACTCCCTGTTACTGTCCTGTTTAGTTTAGACTTTAGCAGTTGGTACATGTTTTCTGTTTTGGGTTTTGTTCCTTGTCTTGTGTTTTCTGTTTAGCCTTGTTTATTCCATGGTTCATTTGCATGTTCATGTTTTGCTCACTTAGCATCTGTGCTGTCTCTGATCTTAGGTTTAGTCCTGCATTTTAGTTCTGTGGCTTACTTAATGTCCTTGTATTTACTTCTAGTTCTGTGTTTGCATTATTTTGGCTTTGTCTGCTCTGTGTTCTGTTTAATCCTGGCTTCAGTCTGTTTTCCCTGTTGGTTGTAGTTTATTTGTGATCTGTCTGCTTGTGTCTCGATTAGTTTGTTATTTATATTATTCTGATCTGTTATGTCTTATTTTAATGTGGTCTGTGTTTTGTGTTCAGTAACGTGGGTTCTGGCTGTTACTCCAGAATCCCTCTGCCTGCCTGTCTTGTTAGTCCTGATCCCTCTCACCTGTGTTGCTCCCTCCTGCTCGTTAGTCCCTAGTGTTAAATGTTTGCTGTTTCTGTTCAGTCTCTGTCTAGTTATTGTTGTGTTTGGAGTGTTCTGCCTGTCTCTGTGTTGCCTGATCCGCTGTTTAGACGTTTTACACCCGAACTGCATGTAAGCCTGAGTTTTTGTGTTTTTGGATTAAAACCTGTGCACCTTCAGTCAACTCTCCAGTGTCTTGCGTCTGGGCTCTCTCCTGTTTGCACTTCATCTAAAAATCGTGACAGTACTCTGTTCTGTGCAATGCCTCATTGGCCCGTCTTCTTTTGGCAGTGTGATGGACATACTCAACTTGTGGAATGATGACCCAGAGGAGGTTCTCTTGGACCTGGGCTTTGGTTGTGATGAACCTGACCTCTCTGGGCGCATCCCGGCACGATTCATCAATCATCAGTCTCAGGCCAGAGGAATAAACCTCCAGGTCTTTCTAGAGACCCAGAAGAACCGTCTGGACTTGGAAAACCCAGATGTCAGCAGTAAGTCTAAGTTTTAGTGCTATGACCAGTGGTGTACAAGTGTAGCAAAGCATTCCAACAAGTGATGCATGTATGCCAATGTTGAATTGTATCATGTTATCCTAGCACTGGCATCATACATTCTGTTTATCCTTTCTTGTTCTACAACCCTTTGGAAGCTGGCTGCAGGGAATTGCTCCCATTCAGTCACAAGAGCCTTGGTCCAGCATTGATGTTGGATGATCACAGTCAGCGTTCCAGTTCATCCCAAAGCTGTTAGATGGTGTTGAGGTCAGGATCTGTGCAGGCCAGTCGAGGTCTTCCACACTAAACTGGGAATGGCATTTCTTTATGGATCTTGTTTTATACTGTACACAGGGGCACTGTCATGTTGAACTTGGAAAGGGTCACACACAAACTGCTGACACAAAGTTAGGGGAACGCTGTTGTCCGGGCGGCTGTGGCTCAGGGGGTAGAGCAGGGTAGAGTGGGTTGCCTGTTAATCGAAAGACTGGCGGTTCAATCCCTGGCTCCTCCAGGCTGCATGTCGAAGTGTCCCTGGGCAAGATACTGAACCCCGAATTGCCCCTGTTGGCTGTTCCACCAGTGTATGAATTAGAGTTGGGCCGATAGATGATGCCATCGTGCAATGGCTGACAGACATCAAGACGTTGAGCCGGAATCGTGACTGTAAAACCCCCCAGCCAAAAAAACAAACTCAAATTTTAACATTATGAAAGCAGGTTTTATTGACCACCAACATTCTTATTGTTTTTAAATATCCTTTGCACCTGCCTTGGAATTCTCTTCTCCCCGCACTCTCTCTCCCCCCGATCTGCCACATTTTCTCCATCAGCAGTAGCCTATGTTTTATAAAGTCGCCCAAAAGACTGAGAACTCATCTTTTTTCTATATTTGTCGGCTTATTAATGACGTAGGCTATCAAACAACTGAAACCAACATCTGCACCCTGTGTTCACTGATGCTTTACCCTGCAGTAAAATATCCACCACGACTTGTAACGTAAGTTAATAGTCTACCAATTTTCTTTACCAAGTGAAGTCTGTGCGAGAACACATGCACATAAGATGACTGCTGCCACCTGCGTGCGTGCGCGCACCCGATGACATGATTCCATCTCGATGTTTCATTGTAGACCTCGCCCAAGCCTAGTATGAATTTGTGTGAATGTTAGTTTCTTTTTGAGCACACTAGGCTCAGTGTATGAATATGTATGAATGGTGAATGCAATGTAGAAAGACAAGAAAGGCGCTTTACAAATATTTCCTTTTAGTGGAACTAAGAAGTCCAGACCAGGGGAAAAAAACGTCATAATAGAAGTTATCTCACTGCACTTTTCATACATTTTAATGGGTCTCATTTATAAAACTGTGCGTATAATCCTCACTAAAATTGTACGTACGCCCAAAAGCCAAAAATGGCTTTATAAAACCGTGCGTACACACACTTCTAAGTTATGTTTCCTTTATAAATCACAATCAACTTGAAATGTGACACATGTGAGGGAGCTGACCCTTCAAACGCTCATAGTGGCCTATAAATGGTCAGTGAAATGCCCCTCAGTAACATTAATACGTACTGACTGTATAAAGAAAAGGATGCAAATTCTGACAGAAAAGCTACAAAACGAAATTTGACCCAGGCACTAATTTGGACTCCCCGGTTTGAACAGAGATTAAACCAAATGCATCCCACCTGTATTTAAACATTTATTTAGGCTACACAAACAGTCCACTCACTCACTGATGAGCTAAAAGAAATATGACTTGTTGTAGGCTAAATGACATAAGCTGAAAGATTTACTTAATAAAATGGTGTTATATTTTCCATAACATGTTTTTACAAGCAGTGCACCAAAACCACACGCTGGCACACAGCGAACATGTGATAACAATAGGCTATACGAAATTATTGACTCGTATTTGCTCGACTGACACATTGAAATCGGCATCAGTTTAAATATAGCCTAATTTATCCTCCTGTTCACCTTATTTATGAGAATAAATTGCACTGCATGCAAGTATTAATATCATTCCCGATTAAACTGTACAACATATTTGAGGCATTCTCTTGAAGAAACAGATTCCTACCCTTTTGTGTTTATTATCCTCAATCATGGTTCTTTTTGTATGCGCTGGAAATTATCTAGGGTTTTTTTTATTGTGCACTTCAGGAAAATCAACCAAATGTTTGTTTTTTCAGAAAGGCTTTAAGCCTATGATACTCGGAGGTACTATTTCAATTTATGTCATACAATAGTAGGCCTATTCATTTCAGTTTCCTTCTGCCATGTGAGTTGCCATTTCTCCTCTTTAATAATAATAATGTCATACTTTTATTGTCACATACATGTTGCGAAATTCATCCTCTGCATTTAACCCATCCCTCAAGGGAGCAATGGGCAGCACCCGGGGACCAACTCCAGATCTTTACCAGTGTCTGGTCAATAACACTGACAGGAGAACCTAACATGTTTTGTTGGTGGGGTAACCGGAGCACCCGGACAACCGGGGTTTGAGCCGCGACCTTCTTGCTGTGAGGCCACAGTGCTATCCATAAGTTCATCTTTGTACTACCTGACCAAACCACAGAGCAATAATCTAAATGTGACTACTTTCTGCAAAACATGTTTAGTTAGATATGGAGTTAAAAACAAAGAACACCTTTTAACTACAGATATTTCTCCCCATCTTTTGCACTACATCATCATATGTCTTGACTACGACAAATTACAGTCTAAGGTTACCCCAAGAAGCTTTGTTTCCTGTACCTGCTCTACACCAACATTGTTAAGTCCCAAATCCAACATGGGCCTTGTATTTAGTGAATGTTTAGTTACAAATAAAAAGCTTTTGGTCTTGGCTTTATTCAGGTGCAATTTATTATCAGTAATCCAGTTAAATACCATCTACAACTCGTTGTTGAGAGCTGCAGTAATTCTTTCAACAGCGGACATAAAATTTTACATCATCCGCATACATAGACACAGAAGCTCTACAGACCAGTGGAGATCATTTGTAAAGAGTGAGAAAAGCATTGGTCCTAGTGATGACCCTTGCGGGATCCCACATGTTACAAGCCTTACCTTTGAGAAGCTTCCATTGAAATACACCTTCTGTGTTCTATCTGTTAAGTAGCTCTCTACCCATGCTAATGCAGATAACATTAATGCAGATAACATTTGAGTGTCCCTAGTAGCAAGCTATGGTCAATATCAAAGGCAGCACTAAAATCTAATAGTGCTGCTCCGACAATATTTTGTTGATAAATGTATTTTAACCAATTATCTGTCATCACAGCTGTACAGGTTGAATGTCCTTCTCTATACGCATGCTGGTATTTGCTTAACAATTTATTCATAGTGAAATAACCTTGTTCTTGTTAAATGCTTCAATCCAAGATGGGGTTAAACTGCTCTTTCTGCCCATGATATCATTTAAGGTGCTCCAGAACTTTTTCCCCATCATGTTTTATATAATTAATCCTGTATTCATAGTACAATTTCCTCTTTTTTCTATTCAAATTAGTGACATGGTTGCTCAATTTACAATGTATTTGCCAGATAAGAATCCAGACCCCTTTGCCACTCCTCTTGCATCATCTCTTTGACCCATGTATCCTTTTAATTCATCATCATCCCAAGGAGCCCTAGCAGCTCTAACAGTCAGCCTCCTAACATGCATGCAACATGCATGCTTATCCAAAACTGGGGCCAGTAATTCCATGGATACATTAAGTGCACTATCTGGGATATTTCTATCATCCACATATGAATCACAACAAAAACCATTCATTCTTTTATAGACAATCTTTGGCCCCACCTTTGGAACTTTAGTCTTCCTGAATAAACCCACCAGATTGTGGTCACTAAAGCCGATGGGAATTATTATGGCTTTAGAACAGAGTTCAGTAACATTAGTGTAAATATGATCTATACAAGTGGATGATAAAAGTCCTGTTTCATAGATACGTACCCTGGTTGGCTGGTTAATAACCTGAACCAGATTACAGGCCCTGGTTATAGTAAGAATTTTCTTCTTCAGCTAACATTTTGTTGCAAGAAAATCTATGTTAAGGTCTCCCAGGACATAAATTTCTTATTTTCATCACATGCTCGCTCAAACATTTCTCCCAGATTGTCAAGATACTGATTGCCAGACCCTGGTGGCCTATAACCGCATTCCATCAGAATAGGTTTTAAAAGTGGTTGGTGAACCTGTAACCATAACATTTCAACATCACATAACATTCGATCTTATCTGATTTTATTTGGGATGTGGCTCTGAATATAAATGGCAACTCCTCCCCCATAAATATCCCTATCCCTTCTATAGATATTATATTCCTGTATCTCTATTATAGCATCATCAAACATATTGTCTAAATGAGTTTCAGAAATAGCTTGAATATGAATATTATGAGATGTTAGCAAGTTACTGATGTCTTGAATTTTGTTTCTTAAGCTACATATGTTTATATGACCTTTTTTTTTTTTTTTAGCCCTTTCTTGGGAAATGTTGACATTAATATGGTGTCTGAAAATTAGCACACATTCTGTCCAGAATATGTGTGTATGTGAGTGCTCACTCAAACCCACATTCTTAGTTGACCTTTCCATTTGGACCCGTCGTCCTCTGGGAGAGAGGACCATAAGTCTGTCATGGCAAATGTAGGCAATGTTTCCCTTTGCTCGTTCAACCTTCTTGCGCGGAACTAATTCTCTTTGTTTTATCGTTATGGCTTCAGAGTAGTCCTCATTAAAGTAAATACTCGTAACTTTTCAGTTTGTTTGCTCTGGTCATCACAACTGCCTTGTCTTTCCATCTTAAAAACTTGACCACGATCGATCTGTGTAGGGTTCCTGCCCTTGTAAGATCACCCATACGATGGGCATGTTCCACTTCAATCTGTTCTTTATACATTTCTAACTTTTCAACTAGAATGTGGCGGACCTTGTTCTCAGTTTCTTCTCCCCTCTCATGTTGCAATTTAGGAATGCT